TCCGGCTATTTAGAGCCTTTAGTTCGCCGGCCAAACGCAGTGCGCGGATACAGAAAAGTAGTCAAGCACGAGGAAAACGCCTGTAGCATTTCTGAATGGCTGGCCGCGTTTTGCAAGGAATCGGGAGTTGAAATGAAAAACGGACACCTGTGCACGGGCAGCTGGGATGGGCACAAAGCGGCCGGCAAACACGCATTGTGTGCGTGCCGGCCCGCCTGGCCGACGCGGAACCGCGTGCGCAAAAGCGCAAGGAGAGTTGAGATTTCGAGGTGGTAGCATGACGGCTGGCTGGAAGGTGCCGTGGATGATGTATGTGCTTAGTTTTTGCCTTTAGAATACGCGGTTATGCGGTAGGAGTCGGCTTATGGCTAAGCCGGGGCATAACGCTCGCCTCGAGGCCGTTAGCCCCCAGGCGTTGTTCGCCCAATCAAATCGGCTCGAAACATCTGAGTCCGGGCCGCAATCCATTGTCACAATGGGGAGGAACGATGTGTTGGTGGTTCTGTCCCTTCAGTCCGTTTGCCGCCTTCCACGAGCAATCTGGGCCCGCAATCTTGGCCAAAACAGAGCCGGCGAGGCCGCCACTGAAATTGAGTGTCGCCAGCACACGCTAGCGCAGCCTGTCGCCCTAGGGGCCTAATTCGGATATTCACTGGCGCTATTTACTGAAAGAGCATAGGGTGGCTGGGAAGAAATTTGAAAGAAGCGACAGAAGCAACTCTTGAGAAAATTGCTGAAATTGTTTTTATGGGTTTTTAGCATTTGAACTGTTGACAGGGGCTGCTGTTCCATATTTCGACCGAGCCCCGAATCCATCAAGGGTAATTGGCTATCAACACGCACCAAAAGTGCTCAATTTTTCCCAGTCATTCATTCGGTGGCGCAAGGACAATACGAACGGCACCTCATCAGCGGGGGCACACTGTAAATGTGTGGGAGAAATGGAGATGAGGAGGAGGAAAAGCCAGTCCCAGCTCGGCGGCGGTCGGGGCGGTTGGTTGGGATGCCGGGTGGTCGAGGGATGGGGCCGACCGAGCATGAAATGCTTCTTTTCATCCCAACCTCCGCCCCGTCCCATCGTCCACCAATTCTTAGGGGGGCTATTCGTGTTCTCCCAGACTAGCAAAATTTGGATGTGAGCGCTGGGGTGGTGGAGCTGTTGGTGAAAATGGCTAGTTGGCGCTGGGAACGGTAGTGGGCAGATGGGGGTGAAATTTGAATGAAAGCTCGGATGCGACTGGAGTTAGGTTTAGCGTGGCAGCTTAAAAACTTGCAACATTTAGTGTCTCGAAGGCAATTAGTGAGGGCGTTCGAAACCACATTTTTTCAAGTAATCCCGTACGGCCCTATACAAAGTACAATCCATTTTTATAGTTTTTTTAGACATATAAAAACTCATCAAATGAGGACATTTTTCGAAATTTTTAAACTTTTTGGTGAAAAATGTAAAAATAAATAAAACGGAAAAACAAAAATGAGCTCCCCTCTGCAAAAAATCCCGCCCCTTCCCCCGCTAACAGTACAGTACCGGATTTTTTTATTTATTTAAGGACTACTGTTCCGTTAAGGGCAAAATTGCAACTATATAACGGCGTTGACCTTGAGAACGAGTAGCCAGCCAGCTGACCGGCCGGGACAGCGATAAGCGTTGGAACACACGGGTCGGCAGCTAAAAGCTGGCCCCCGCCGGTGTTTTTTATATCGCGCCCAAGCAGCTTGGGATGATTAGCACCGAGCAACACCAGCAACTCACAGATTGAGGCGGAGGGCGCGGCGTTGAAAGGAACTGGGTCAAGGGTGGCCGAGTACCAGTTTACTCCCCCCGACCCCCTACTCACCGCCGGCTGTCGATTGGATCGAGGTGGAATTAGAGCGAGCGTTTACGTGAATTATCGAATTGATGGAGGTTTATTGTGGATTGGAAATTGAGCTAGTTTGTCTCTTGGCGTGCCAAGATGACACAATTCAATGTTTTGAAGGCGCTGTTTAGTCGTCTAGACTCTAGAGGTCTAGAGTACGCGGCGCTACGCCGTACAGGTGTGGCTTTGAAACTTTGAAGGAACGTACGCCTTTGAACTGATTGTTTTTGATTTTTTTTGGCTATCGACTATGTCTATAAACCGTTAGACTATGAAATAGCGGTAGTTACAGAAAAATCGTTGGAAATCTTAGCGTTAGAATTCTTTGCGAAAGTCTAGTAGTTATGATGAATACATCTTGCAAGCTGCCGGTTTTCGGACTATAAAACCGCGGGGTTTTAGTGCAAATGGCGAGGGTGTAGGGGGATAAGTCGCTGAAAGGTGGTATGGGCCCCTCCATTAGGCTTAGGGCCCATACCGATTCGAATAATAACCCGCGGGGGGGGGTATAGAAGGTCAAGAGAAAATCCGCAGGGTGGAGGCGATCAGCGGTTTCGGCGAGAGAAAACAGATGGTTCTGTTCAATTTGAAAACAATCCCCGCTATCGCCACTTTCCCAGCCAACCCTCAATAATCGGAGAAATCGACGAGCGGTGTGTCGGATTGTGCGAGCGGATCGTCTCGGCTCGCAAATTGTACAGCCCGCGGACCCCGTCGCCCGCCCCAGCGAGACCGTGATTATGCACCAGGGCTATTGATTTGCGATGCCGCCGAAAATCGCCAATGATTAGTCAGCAGCCCCCGGGGCGACGGAAGCGCGATGGAGAGGGTGGTTCGTACCCTCGGGGCGATAAAAGGGATTATTTTTAGGGCGCTTTTGCTTGCCAACGTTTCAATGAGCCTGGAGGAGTTGGAACCGGAGCGAAAAAAATCTTGTTCTGCACTCTGGGCCTTCGGGTAGCCATTTTAAAGGGATACGGACACAGGAAAAATGGTTCTTTCGCGTTATCGGGGTGACCAACTTTTTGTTCTATAAGACCAGAAATGTCTAGTAAAGTCATGGGAAGTGATTTAATAGTGCTTTTAGTCAAATTTAACTACATTTTCAGTGAAAAAACAATCGATAAAACTTTGAAAATTTTTAAGTGAAAATTGGTCATTTTGGTCAAAAATCACTATTTTTTGTATTTTTTTAATCAAAATGTGTCAGTTTTTGCGTTTTCGCATAGTAAAAACTGTTTAGAAAACTGCTTGATTGAAGCTAGAAAAATTGGGTTCTTATAAAAAATTGGTTCCCCCCGATAAGGCGAATGAACCAAAAAAAGCTAATTTTGGGGTACGCGGGAATTTTCAATTTCTAGTCTAAGGGGAGGTGACGACACACATCTTCTTATTCACAATTTATTTCAAACAATATGCTAACAGTAATCATTCACGAATCCGTTTCCTTGCCCGCAACTTCAGAGGCACGTATTGTCTAAAGGAGTGCGTCGTCGCCTGTCACAGATATTCTGCACCCTACCTCAAATCACACTGAACCGGCGAAAAAAAGCAGTTCCGATCGAGGCGCTTGGCCATGGCAGGCATCGCCAAGTTACTAAAACTAATGGTTAAAATTTCTAGCTCACTAAACTCGTACCTCAGTGAAGTCTCTTCCTGCAAAAACCTGCCGAAGCCGTGCCCCACGAGTAGTAAGAATATCCAGCAAACCCAAGTCGGCTTCATCTAAATCGACGGATGGGGGCAGGCGACATTTTGGGATCCGGAAGATTATGCCATTTCCCGCAGACGTCATCGGCATTAACCGCATATGGATAAGCCGCCCAGGTAAGTAGACGATAAGCCTTTTTGGATTGGACAACCGGATCCCCAGACCAGCATAAGTCATAAATGTCTCCAGAAAGCGCGGTTCTGGTTCGTTAGCGGGGGGGGGGATTTTTCTCGCTAGTTTCTCCTTAGATTTGACCTGTAAATGAAAGTCTAGTGCATTTTTAGGCAGTATCCAAGAGCGGTAACAAAATGCCGAAAAATATCGAAAATCGAAAATCCCGTGGATATGGCCCCGAAAAATCGCGAATATTGAAAAATCTGCGACAATAAACACCCCCCCCCCTCTAACGAACCAGAACCGAAAGCGCACCAAGTCTGGAAACAAATTTGGAATCAAAGCAGGTATGGAAATCGCAGACGCTTGAACCGGCTATAGTCGGTTAGTTTTTCTCAAAACAAAACCTTTGGTACCTGATGTTTAAAATTTTTTAAATTGCAAATTCTGCTGACAAACGTGGCGTAACGGGGCCAGGGGGGGGGGTGAAAATGAAAACAAAACAGGATTTAATAAAGTGCATTCTCAGGGGGATGATGCCGCTTTGTGAGGTGTGAAATATGACAAAGAGCCGAGAGGAAGGATAGTTTCGTGCCTAGATAGTTTCTTTTTGGTACGCTCGGGCGTGAAACGTGATAATTTTTGACGGAAGCACGTCCGTGAGATTTAGGCTGGAGGCTCTAAAAAGTGGGCCCGATGATGAGCATAGCGCTTTTGCCTCGGGCGTCGGTGAAGCTTCTTCCGGGATCTAGTCGCGGCCGCTAGGCAATATGAATCGTAAATTCGCAGGGATCACGTGGCACAATGCCGTATGGGAACCAAAGTATCAAGGGTCAAAGCAAAAACTCGAACAAAACTTTAACAAGACTGCTTTATTGCATAAAACGACCTAAATGACGCCTGTTCTTTGTTTACTTCAATTTTAAAAATAGGCTTGTTTCGACTTTTTAGCTTTTTTGGGCTATTTTGCGCGCAATAAAACCTTGATGACGAAAACTGGCCGATCAGGCGCTTCACACAAAATACATGGCTCCATGCAGAATTTTTTTGCGCATCTTTCTATTCTCGTCACATCAAGCGCCCAATCGGCCAGTTCTTGGAAATCCGGAAAACTGTTTTAAGTACGCGATACATTTATGTTCCCGCCATTTTCGCGCTTCGCCATGTATTAGAGAAACGATCATCATTATTCCCCTATCAACAGTATCCATGTGAGCCAAAACCTTGGTTAACTTATTTTTCTGTCGCTTTATTCGGTTACTCCACATACAAAGAGAGAACACAATAATGCGATACAATGCGGGGAAATAGCTTCATTCGAAGAAGCGGGAGACGTAGAAATAACTCGGCGACGGGCGCAACATCACCAACGCGGGAACGTCGACGATGTTGTCCGAAGCGAGGCGCTCTGAAAATATGTACGGGTGGTTGTTAATTTAGAACATAATCTACATCCCAGATTCTAGAAGAACAGCGACATTCAAGCGAACCTGGCTGCTGGTTGACGATGTCACTATGGGTAGAGCTTGTTGTACTCGAAAATCTGGCTCAGCGCGTGACTGACCTCGTGCGGGCACGTATCGGGCAAATAGGCCTTAATCGTAAATATCATTCGTCGCCCAATGTTTCACGAGCTGTTGGCCCGTAGCCACATTTAGAGAGGTCAGAGAATTCCGCGCGTAGGGTTGGGAAATTTGCGCGGTCCGGGCAAATACAGGGTGTCGCTTGTTTGAAGGCACCACCAACAAATTGGCAAGTAGCCAACAGGCGAGAGAGCGCCCAGGGGAGAGGCGCAGAGACATTTTCTTTTCCGCGCGTAACCGATTGACCATGCCGTCGGCATCAATGACTTTTTCCGTCCCTGAGTATTCCCAGGAGGGGATTCCCGGAGGAAACAAATTTTGGTAAGACTCAGATACCCCCGCCCCAACTTTAGTATCTCAGCTCCCTGTTCATCTAGGGTGTGTGAGGTATACCAAAATGTTCAGTCTTGCTCTGGCGAATATTTTGGTATACTTCACACACCTGTAGATGAACAGGGAGCCGAGATACGGTAGGCGGGGACCGGCTGGGGGTATCTGGACTTCAGCCCAAATTTTTTTCGGCGTGAACCTGGATTTTTTATAGAAAGCGGACTTTTCAACTGTTTCTGAGCACAAAACGGCTTCGTAAATCTTCATGAAAATTTAATTTTAGGTCTAAAATTTGATTGTTCGACCAGACTTGACCAAAATGTCGGCTCGCTCAATTTGTTCCTATCGTTCCCCGCGCGAAGTCTCACGAACCACTTTTCCGATCTCACGGAGGAAAATCGGTTTATTTTTCCCTTAGCATGAGTCACGCATACCTGGATAAACAGCAGCACACACGCGTAGACGGTGATGTAGTGTTCCTTGTTGCAGATGGCCAATGGGCTGTGCTCGCGAATTTCTTTGAGCAGTTCGGGGATCTGCACGAAGCCATCATTCACATGAGAGAATTGGTAACTATACCGAAACTGGCCATCCATACAAGAGACGTTCAATGCTGACGTGCACCATGACGTACACGGCCGAAACGCCCACTCCCGAGGCGCACTGGACGACTTGGAGGTGGTTACGACCCTGTAAAGAGCACCAGTCACAGACAACCGCCAAATGCATGGGTGAACGTTGTAGGCAAAAGGTTTACCCATGGGTCCTTCCACATCATCCGAAGGAGAGCGCGGCAATAGAGCAGATTCTTAACCTCGCGCTCACCCAGGTATTCGGGAGCGCCTATAATATTCGGCTTTGATCCCGTAACTGGGGGACGCTTTTTAGCGGTGAACCAAGTGCAATACCGGTATATGTCCGCTACGCGGGGGGGGGGACGGACTGTTGGAGCCGACCTAACCTTTTTTGCGTTTTTTTTCTACAAACAAAACTCTTGGTAAATTTTTCTATGCTCTACCGAAGGGAACTAAAGAAACTTTGTAAAAACCCGAAAATGTCGAAAACTTCCTTTGCTATGTCCCCTTTGGAAACAAGTTTAATATTTGTTTATCATAACTATTTTATATTACATTATCCTACTATATATAAAAAAATAGTTTCTGTGTGTGTGTGTGGACACTTTGCATAAAAACCCGGGTTCCAGCCATAACTCGAAGGGAAGAGGATTTTATGGTTCAGAAATAAAGTGGTTAGGGGTAATCGAGGGCGTAGATTACTGCGCGCGTATCAAATTTTTACTAAAATGACGTTTTATACCTTATTTTAGCGATTTAAAAACATATGGAAATAGACTAATTTGCATACGGCTATTAATTCGGCTCATTCTGGGCTTGGCCGGGTTCCGAGTCGGTTGCTCAAGTAATTCCTGTGGTGCCTTTCCCTAACGTAATTCGTAATATTAATGCAAATTATAATATGCAGTCCCCGTGTATCAAAGGGCCCCGCAGAGAGGCCAGGGTTGAAAAGTCGCGAAGCGGCTTTTCAACCCTGGTTTTGAACTAAAATTAAAAATCTTAGGATATTTTTTGATGCTCTATCTAATGGCTTTTTTTAAATGTCGAAAAAATAGCGGGAATGCCGAAAAAATCGCTCAGCCCGATTTTCAAAGCTTATTTTTGATTTTGCCATAAACTATTTATATTACAATATTTAGAGCTAAAACACAAACTGTTAGTATATTTTCCGATGCGCTGTTGCAAAAATCCCGAAATAATACATAAAAATACATCCCACTGGTGTAGAATATGAGGGATGGCCCGAAGCCTAGCTGATTACAGAAGCGTGGAAAGCATTCAAAATGAACCGACGTCTCTCGTTTCGCATGCCCAAGTCGCCGGCAAGGTCGTCCTTTTTAATGGCAACAACGTTGATGTAATTCTCCAAGTCTCTGGATCTCATCCCCTCCACCAACTGAGCGTGCCCTGCCGCTGGCAGGTTCGCAATCGGAATCCGGGAGACGCCTTCATAACCGTCTATCTGAAAAGCGGCAAGGGTGGAACGATAATACCCATTTTGATGGTCAATTTCCGGCCATTTTTGGCATTTTTTTTTGATTTCTGCTTAGCTTAGACTTGGAAAAGGCTGAAGCTTTGTCTTTTCATTGCCCAAGACCCACTTGGTCACATCCCGAATCTCGGGGACCACCCATTGCACTTCGATTTTCACCGGAACCGAAATTCTCGAAATTTTCCAGCCGGACTTTTCTACTTTCGAAAGACTTTCTGCATTGCGCAAATATCCCTGTTGCAAGTAAACAGCTTCACCGTCTGGGCGGTCGGGCACCATTCGCCGAAGGTGCAAAACGGAAGATCGTTCTTTGTGCGGGCGGCCACGCGGCTCTCGTCATGAGGAAGATAGTTATCTCCCTCGATCACCGGATCGAACGCATTGAGAGCCATCAGCATGATTTTCAGTTCGTAGCGATCATACTGAAAATTCGGCTTGTGCTTAAAAGCATGACAAATTTGACTTGGGGGGCCTTGGGCGCTGGATTGCGGCCTCTGCATGACAAATGACTTTGCGATAGCTCGGGTCCTGCGGACCCCCACCGACCACACGCGCGCGTGCTACTCGCAAGAATGAGGACATTTCTATTTTTTCACATTATGCAAATTAGCCCTCCCGGACCCCCAAAAATCAATAAAACCGGCTTTTACTTTGTAAACCTGTATTTTATCGAAATTCTGAGGACGCCATCGGAAACAGAAGGGTCGATTCCCCCGGCTGACGGAGAATTAGGGCATTTTATCCACGGGAAGGCCCTCAAATCGGGGCTCGAAACTGACATCCACACACACACACAAAGATACACGCCAAAATTATATAAGGTAATAGGACTAGGTCAACAATCAGATTTGTAGCCGATTTCGAGGTCGCCATTGGATTCTCCGTATCCGAATTGAACTAGATGCGAAATTTCATGAAATTTGGGTCTGTGGTTTTCGAACGCCAAACGATTTCCCGAGGGGACAGTTTTTGACAGCTACCTACCAATGCCTTCATCATCGTCCAAAAGTCTTCGCATGTTCCAGGAATCGGCGCCTGGGTCAGCACCCATTCGACGTCAGAGTCTAAACTTTTCTCATAAGCGTCCCGCATCACCCCCACGTTTCATTCGGAACACGACGGCATTGAAGTAACGGTCGGGGTCCTGGTCAAGTTGAAACCGGGTCTTGTCTGGCGCCGGGTAGTTCTGCAAAGCTTCTTGATAACCAAACGGGGTCTCTTCGTCTTTTTTCAGCACTGGCCGCTCTGATCACTTAATAATTGGTCATTTTGCCAATTCTCTTGAATTTCGTCTGTTTCCGATTATACAAAATTGGGACATCCAGAAGAGTCGCTACAGTTTTCATTGGGTGCTAATGCAGTTAGGGGGGCAGTCCAAAATTGGTAGTAAGAGGTTACGAGGCGCCCCGCTTAAGCTACTTGGTTTTCAGCTTAAGCCTAGGCTTAACTTAGCTTTAACTAAGCCCAAGCGAAGCTTTCTTCGGCTTCAAATTGACTGACGAGGTCAAAATGGGGTCATTTATGGGTTAGCTTGGCTCATGCTAAGGTCAGGATTCGTTCGTTCGTTTCGAGTGATAAACGGCATTTGGAGCGTCTCGTAGTCAAAATCCAGACTGCCCCCCCAAGTGCATTAGTACCTTTCCCTGTCTTAGTTTTCGTGCGGCCCTAAAAACGCGAAAAAAATCCCCCGTGACTTGTGAATTTTGAGTTGACTATCTTTGCCCTAGCCTAAAACGTCTAAAACCTTTTTCGTATCAAAACAAGCCGTAACCTAATAACAAAATGGACCGCAAATTCGAAATAGCGTGAAAATCTGCCCTAGATGCGCTGATTTTGACTCGCCTGATAGCGGTTCTTCGCAGCGTTCTTCGTAGATGCCTTGCAATCGGTTTCCGGTATCATCCCGGCAGGCGTATACTCATCGAGCAGCGCAGGAATGCCCTGCAATACACGTTCTCCGGCTCAACGACACAAACTGACCAGTTTGTGCACGCGCTCGGCGAAATTCTTGCATTCCGAAATCGTCTTCGGCTTCAACTCAAACCACCTCGCCCGCGTGTCCGGATGCGTTAGCTCAATCTTGCGCAACATAATTGCAAAGATGCAGATAGTCAGCAGCGCTGAAAAGAATACATTGCGGCGGAGGCCGGAGGCTAAATTACGCTTTACGGTAACCAACTAAAAATTCGATTTTTTGGTGCTTTCCTGTTAGCGGGGGGAGCGGATTTTTAGCGGGGGAGCGAATTTTTAGCGGGGGAGCACGGAATAATTTTTTCCGAAGGCGTTTTAGGGGTGTAGTAATTAAAGTTAAACAATTTCCATAGCATTTTACAGTGGTTTTATTCAACAACAAACACGGCTACATATTCAAACGCTTTCAAAAAAATTACAAAACTGAGAAAACACTGAGTTCTTGCGCCCAAAACGTATAAAAAAATTAGCAAATTGGTCAGAAACTTGGGATACAAGTTAAGATTATAAGATGTTCTGATAAAGTTTCATAGTGTTTTCGTGATCAGAAACTGCCAAAAACCGTACTAAACTTTATTTTAATTCATTACTAGGCAGGCATAGGCTTAATTAAAAAAATTCGCCTTGCACCCCCCACTAAAAGTATGCTTCCCCGCTAACACGGAAGCACCGATTTTTCGACTGGCATCGTCATATCTCACCGAGTTCTTGCATTTCTAGTTCTAAAAAAACTATTGGGGCTGGCGTATAGCAAAAGTTATAAGGCTTCAAAGCGGTTAATTAATCTCTCTCAGGCTAAAAAAGAGTCTTTTCAAAAACGGGCTTTTGGTTTTCGCAAAAGGAGACGAATTCTCGTGGCAACAAAAAGCGCTAAATTCCTTTCAAACTCTGAAAAGTTCCACAAAATGTGGGCACAACAAAAAGTTGCTGGCTGTTTAAAAGCTTAATAAATGTGGTGCCATCCTAGATTACAGGTCAGGTTTACAGATTAATTTTATAAATAGATCATAATACAGAAATTATTTGCACGCCGAAACGGCTAAAAACTAGATGAGCCGCTTTGAATAGGTGCCAGCAAATTTGGGTTTTCGGTTTCCTTTTGCGAAAACCAAAAGCCCTTTTTTGAAAAGACTCTTTTTAGCCTGAGAGAGAATTTAGCCCTTTTTGCCTCAATCTTGTTGTTAAAATCGTAAAATAAGCCATGGGATATTTATTCAGATGAGCCCTTGTACGCAATGCTTCGAAAAAAATTTGCCTGCGGCGCTTTGTAACCGTACTAAAAACCATAACGATGCATTCGGGCCAATCGGCAAAAAGCATGTCGCGGGTGGGGTTCGAACCCGGGGGGCCAAATCTCCCAAGTACAGCGTTCTAACCACTTGGCCAAGAGGGAAACTGGACGCTTGTGTTGGGGGAGCTAGACCCGCCCCCCTGACTGGGGGCTGGGAGCCGCGAAAGGGGAGGGTGGCGCCCCGTATGGCGAAGGTTTAAAGTTAACATATCTCAAAGGAGAAGCATTCTTTCGATGCAATTTCTTCTTTACTTTATCTAGCAATGTCTAATGCATATTTGAGCAAAATTTCAGCCCAAACCGGGTGCTAATGCAGTTAGGGGGGGGGCAGTCCGAAATTGGTAGTAAGGGGTTACGAGAAGCTCTGCTTAGGCTACTTGGTTTTCTGCTTAAGCCTAGGCTTAACTTAGCTTTAACTAAGCTTAGCTTAGGCTTAGGCTTAAGCTTAAGCCCAAGCTAAGCTTAAATTGAGCTTTAAATTGCCTTAGGTGGTCAAAATGGGGTCATTTCTGACTAAGCTTAGAGCAAAGCTTAGCTTGGCTCAAGCTAAGCTGAGACTTCGTTTGTATGAAGCTAAGCCTAGGCTTAGGCTTGGCTTAGCTTTTCCAGAGGCTTCGAGTTTAAAAAACGGCATTTGGAGCGTCTTGTAGTCAAAATCCGGACTGCCCCC